CCAGTAAAATTGCATTTAGAAGATTGGTTCTTGTGTTGTAGAAAAAAAACATTTGATTTTCTGATTTGAAGAATGGATTTATCTGTTAAATTGTGCTATTTTACATGTCTCAGATGAGGTAACATGGAATAGAACTTCTAGCAAAAGTTTAAATTCATCGTTTGGAAAAGAAAGACATGTTGGAGACAACTCAAGTTTATTCAAGGAACCATGTGCCTCTCTCACCAATTAAAACAATGAAATGAGCGGAAATGTTATCGTCCTGTCGACTGTTACCAACCGCCTAACGTTTCATCATCGTACGAACTATGTCAACACGCTCAGACTAATAGTCACACTACAATTTGGTCGATATAATTCGATCAGCATTAAAAGGTACTTAACAAACATGATGTTGATTGCCACTAAGTGATTGGTTGTAAATGTTGTTGTCTTTTAGATTTCTGGATGAGTACAAACTATCAATTCATCTTAAATAATTTTAAACCTCTCAAGGAAACCCAGTGACAGACAATTTTTCAAGGTTGTTTGAGTGATATCAAATATGTTAAGTGAATTGTAATGTAAATTAGTAGTTGAGTAATTAGATGTAAAAGAAACTCAATAGATAGAATGACGATGATTGAATTTCAAATCAGTGAAATTCTATACTGTTATAGTTGATTACAATTGTAAATACTAAAGAAACACTAGGATTATCGAAAAACTGAAATAATCATTCACTTTATTTTACCCATGACAATTATTTTTAAAATATTTTATACGAATATTTGTCAATACTAGAACGAATAGTTTGATAAAATTTGGGCGCTGAATATAGGTAAGACATTATTTGTGAAAATTATATTTGAAATAATCTCAACGATTGAAATTTAAATAACTCCAACATTTTGTCCAGCAAACTTGTTTAAACTTCTTCAGGGTAATAATCAAGATCAGCATTAGTGAAAGTTAAGGATAGGTTTTCAAAGAAAGAACAACAGAATATTGTCTATCAGATCAACTGTCATGATTGTAATGCAACGTATGTGGAAGAAACTTCAAGACAATTGAATGTGAGAATGAAGGAACACAAACAATATCTGAAAAATGTTCCCAAGTCCTCGGTTGATTCGAAGAAACTTTAGAATAGGTCGGCGACAGCGTTACATGCATTAGAAACAGGACACATGATCAACTTTGAAGGGACCAAAATACTTCAGAAAGGGTTTAGCACACATAAGGAAAAATCGACAGTAGAAGCTCTGTTTATTTGGGCTAATAAGAACAGCCTGAACAAAAACGATGGTATTCAACTTGCTATCATTTGGTAAATGTTCGTTAACAAGTAATTTGATCCTATTTCTATCCAACCTGTTTATTTCACATGCATTACTATTCTAACAGAAATTAATCTGGGATATTCTAGCTCTACAAATATCCATTTGATTGTTCTCATTTTACATCCACATAGAAGATTCAGAAACAATTTCAACCTTCAAATTGAACGTTTATTTTTAATTCATACAAAAACAAATTCATACTTAATATCATCCATTAATAACTCAAACCTACACATACACATACACCCACATGATTCATTCATTTATCTTCACCTAGTGAATTTTTCACATGATTCGCATGTAACTGACTTATGTTATCCTACTCACTAAAGTCAACATCCAAATATGATTGGATTAGCACAATATAGATTTGATCTTATTTGATTGTTAAACATTATATATTTCTTTGATCATGTTGATTTTGATTATTACCCTGAAGAATTCCAGACAAGTCTGCTGGACGAAACGTTGGAATTATTTAAATTTCAATCGCTGAGACTATTTTAAATATAATTTTTCACAAATAACATTTTTTAAATAGCTTACAGCAAACTTATGAGTTATTATCTTTCCTCCTAAACACTAACATTTCGTTTACAATCACCTCATTCCCATAATGTATCCTGATCGACAACAAATAGTAATCATTCAAAAACTCAAAATGTCACTAATACATGAATAGTGTATGAATAAATTTACGTTAGTTATAAATATACTTGATTGTATTTGGCTGACAATCGATAAGGATTCTCTTGTATGATTTGAATTGCGTTTCCGTTAATTGATTGTATGACATGTGGATAAACAATGATCAAACTATACTCTGATTATGTAACGACAAGTCAAATCTGTTTTATAGAAATTACTGTGATCTTATTGATAACCAAGATTTAATGTGGTTTCCATCTTTAGTATGTCATTTAGTTTTTATGTGGTTATTAATTTCGTTCTGCAATTTTTACTGTGTAAATAAGCTAAACTTTCAGAAATATCGATCCCTGTACCAGTCAGTGTAGCTGGACAGATACTCTCGTAGTTAGGTACTCTATAATAAGGTGGGTGAATTACGCTTATAAACAATATTTTAAAAGTAAAGGTTAAATTTCGTAAAATGTAGTGAATTCGTATTTTAGAATATGGATTTTTTTAAATAAAGTAATACCTAGGAAGATTTTGTTTAAAAGAGAGCTGTGAATACTACTATTTATTTCATTTTCTGTATGAATTCAGAGCGAGTAATGATGGAGATATTTTTACGACTACTAATAGGAATTTATTCATTTCAAGTGACAAATTATTTGAATAAGCTTTTAAAACTTTTGATAGAATTTGATGTTGGACAAATACATTGTATATCTGTCCACATCAGACACTGTTAGAAGAATAACCTCAGTTAAATATACTTGAAAAGAATCGAAATCATTACATTAACTCGATTTACTATAAGTTTCTGCACATCTCACTCTCCATCATTGGTTGATAATTATTGCATGGTTATTGTAATTCCTGACCTCCAGTAATGAAGACTTTTTGGGTGAAATTAAGAAAAACTAGAGATAAGTGTGTAGTGACCTACTTTTATGAAGAGAACGCGATTGGTGTAATGGAAACATTTATTATTATAACCAACTGTACCAGTGATTATTTTACTGAACCTGTTTGTTTAGTTGTACCGAAACATATACTTTTCCATTGTTTGTGACCTTGAGCACACTCACGTACGTGAAGTAGTCTCGCTTGTAAATTTTGGCACGATCTGGGTATTATTTCGATACCACGAGATTGCCAACAAATACATCCTAATTACAATCTACAAGTGCCTTCTAATATTTGTCCTACATAGGGTTTAACCTGATAATTGGCACGTAATCGGTCTGTAGTGGTGATCATAGTCAACTGCGACTCGACACAACTACAAGTGATTGAACATCTTGTTTTGAAAATATGTGTTCATGTTATAATGAACAAACATTTTGTTGACATTCATGTATAACCAACCTGGTGACGGCAATAAACAGATGAAAAGGCATCCTTGATAGCTAGAGGAAGGTTGACACCAAATTTCATGACTTCCCGAAAGCTCTTGATAGAGTCAGTCACAGATGTCTTATCAACAAGCTCGAACTACTAGGTATCAGATCATCTTTAATTGATTGGCTTACGGCATATCTAAGTAACTGACATTTTAAGGTCAGGGTTACCTTTTCTTTCTCTTAGGCTATGGAATATCCTAGTGAAATCCCTCAGGGTTCAATATTAGGGCCTCTTCTCTTCTTCCTTTATATAAACGATCTTCCACATCAGGTATCGTTAAATTTTCTGCTTTTCACTGATGTGAAACTCTGAAGAGAAGTCTGCAACTAAGAGAATAAACTTGCACTTCAGGAAGATCTGATTCGATTTCAAAATTGAGAGGCCGACAAGGAGCTTACCAGTAACAGTTCAAAGTGTAATGTAGTCCATCCGAGACATGTTCCAGACTATGAATACGACTTAGGTAACTACTTTCCAAAGGTATCTTAAGATAAAAATAATCTACTACCATCTGATGTCTTACGCTAACGACGACAAAAATGCATTCCGAGTAAACCTTGCACTGGTGACGCTGAAGTGCGTTTATGGTCAGTTCGATGGCGGAACTATCCGCCTGATCATCAACAGTATTACTCGATCCTACTTATAGTATAGAAGCATGGTGTTTTCTTCCTCACTTCAATAGGATTGTAGTGACTCACGTTTATCACGAGAACACGACTGGTTTAATAAAAACAATTATTATTATAACCAACTGTACCAGTGTTTGTTTTAACGTGCTTTTGTTTGACTGTGCTAATGACAGCTATTTTGTGCTTCCATTCTTATTTTTACACTTTGATTGTAACTTCGCGCGAATTCGGTTACGTTCTGTAACCAAGCTTGTATCCTGGCACGATCTCGGTATCCTTTCGATGCCACGAGATCGCCAGCAAATAAACCTCGACTTGGTCCATTAATTGCCTTCTGGTATTCGGCTTCTCGGGGATTTTATGGAGTCATTTGGAACGAGCTTCTTACGCCTTTTGATCTAATTGGCACGTGTTTCTTGGTAGCGGTGTTCATAGTTAATCACAACTCGACGCCACGCTACAGGATAACGATACATTGGAACGTATCCAAATTCGAGCCAAAAAACCAATTCGGGGACTCAAATTCAAGCCCAATGAAGAGCGTCTTAAAGAATGGAGGCTAACAGAAAGTGTGGCTGAACTCAAATCAAATTAAAAATTGTTTTGGTCGGACCGTTTATGAAAAATGTTACGAATTGTCGAGGTGACGCACTCATCATTTTGCAGCAGTTTGACCTTCAGATGTTTAATAACCTCCATCAGTGGAAAATACCACTGAATTGTTGCCTTTGGAAACTTAAATGTCTAGTTTAAGTTTCATTTTGGAAAGGACAGGGGTATATGTGGTCTGTGTTAGTCCTGCCAGTAGTGATCTCTCACCTGACCCAACTCTCTTTTGAAAGCGTCGAGAGATGGAGCTTCAATCACGTGTTGAGGTAATGAATTCCAACCATTGATTATTCTGTGCGAAAGTCGATAGTCAACTCGGAATCAGTTAGGAGATTTGGACTTTGCAGATGGCACGGCCCTTCTATCCCATAAACATCAACCAATGTACATCAAGACAAACGGTGTAGCAGCAGACTCTGCATCAACAAGCCTCAACATACACAGAAGAAAAGCAACATTTTCAAATGCAACACGGAGGACACCAACCCGTCACACTGGAACAGGTGGAAACTTTCACAGACCTGGTCAGCATCATCGGTGAACAAGGAGGATCGGATGCAGGCGTAAAGAAAAGGACTGTCAAAGTAAGAGTAGCATTCCTACAGTTGAAGAATATATGGAACTCAAAACCATTGTCTGCAAGTCAACATAAAAGTGAGAATCTTCAATACGGACGTCAAGACAGTCTTACTGTGCGTAGCGGAAACGTAGACAACCACTACAACCATCATCGAAACAGTACAAGTATTTATAAACGATTGTCTACATAGGATACCCAGTGTCCGTTGTCCGGATACCATCAGCAATAAATTACTGTGGGAGAGAACAATTTAGCCTCCGTTTGAAGAGGAAGTGGGTTGGACATACATCATCGAAATCGCCAAGCTGCATCACGAGGAAAGCGCTAACCTGGAATCCTGAAGAGTAACGGAAAAGAGGTAGATCGAAGTACTCATTGCGTCGGGAATTGGAGGCAGACATAAAAAGTATCAGTAGCAAATGAAAACACGCGGAGAGAATTGTCCATGACAGGGATAGATGGAGAATGCTGGTGAGCGGCCAATGCTCCTCCGTGAGGGTTAACAGGCGAAAGCACGTAAATAAGTAGGTGAAATTATACAATGACCACTCGGTGACTAAGTGTTGAGACCGTCTAGCAAGGCCTCATTCACTCCACAGTTTGGACTGTGGGGCCAATCATCAGCTCTTGTCCTTAGCAGCCAACTAATTCCCACGTCCCAATTACATGAGATATTTTATAAATAACGGTAAACGGGATAGTATTTCTATTAAATGGATCTTCTTTATGCTTCCGGATTACTCTTATTTATTTGAAACTTTCAAAATCACGTTCTCTACTGTCTACAAACTACATCAGCCAAATTTCTGTGACTGCGATCACATCTGGCTTGGTAGAAATTATCTGTACACTCGGATCTGATCGCCTGTCGAGCAAGTTTTTGATATTGGTGTAACAAATACAAAGACCATTTAAATGGCTTCGTACTGCACTCAAAGTAGCCTTGTCACCACTCTCTGTCGAAGCTCCACTATCTGAAAATTTACAATTTTAAGGTCATTCCCGCTTGCATTTAACCTCGGTTTCAGTTCTCTTTCTTGTCTTTTTATACGGCCTACGAGTGTCAAGTCTTAACGAACGAAACTTCTTCCCCTCCAACGCCGTTTGAACAGTCACCAAACATGTTGGGAGTAGTTGCGTGTTGGAGGTTGCCAAACGATCGGTATGAATTCTTCGAATATTGCCGAGCTGTAAGGTAGATGAGGAGGCGGCAAAAATTGATGGGGAAAAAGCGAGCAACAATAAATTACTAGGACATTGGTTGAATGTAGGCTGATGAAACATAGAAATAATGGAAAAAACATACCGCTCTAAAGTTTTACCAAGTTGTGTTGAAATAAATATCTCTGACAAGTGTTTGAGTTCTTCAGATAAGAAACAATGAGTTTGCTGTAGGAGTAATTATACTGCAGTGGTAGTATCATAAGTGCGTCATCAATCAATGCTGATGTTTCTACTGCCATTTATTTAAAGTAGAAAGTCAGACAGTGTTGTTCGTAAGTGTCGAATCCAAATTACGTCTATATTTAAAAGACTAACTGTAAGTACAGAAGTATAACCGTAAAAAGCTGTGATTTCGTCGTACGAAGCTATTGGTCAACTTGTAGTCACATTTTAAAAAGCCAATGACTGCTGTTACAATCAGTAAGGGTCGTAGACTACAGATCGAGAGTGACAGTGATACGAAGTTTTCTCTACAGGTAGATAAACAGCGAGTGCTATACAGGCGACTGCTGTACCGAAACCATCTGTTAGGTAACAGATACGAGGAAGTAATACCTCGTAAAATAAAATACGAGATCGAAGTTAAATAATTACAATAGTTCAGATGTGTTATGACGTCACATCGAAATAAAATCGTTCTTACGTATACTGACAGTTGCAATGAATGTTCATTTGGGTAGTATTGATGTAAAAGATGGATTACTTATTTACTTACTTACGCCTGTTACTCCCAATGAAGCATAGGCCGCCGACCAGCATTCTCCAACCCACTCTGTCCTGGGCCTTCTATTCTAGTTCCGTCCAATTCTTGTTCATTTTTTTCATGTCTATTTCCATTTCTCGACGTTATGTGTTCTTTGGTCTTCCCCTTCTGCTCCCTTGGCCTTGGTGATTCCATATGAGGGCTTGTCTTGTGGCGCAGTTCGGTGCTTTCCTCAATGTGTGTCCTATCCACATCCAGCGTTTCTTCCTGATTTCTTCCTCCACTGGGATCTGGTTTGTTCTATCCCACAGTAGGTTGTTGCTAATAGTGTCCGGCCAACAGATTCGAAGTATTTTGCGTAGACAACTGTTAATAAACACCTTTATCTTCTGGATGATGGCTTTCGTATTTCTCCAGGTTTCCGCTCCATACAGTAGAACTGTCTTGGCATTTGTATTGAAAATCCTGACCCTGGTGTTGGTTGACAGTTGTTTTGCATTCCAAATGTCCTTCAGTTGTAAATATGCTGCTCTTGCTTTACTGATCCGCGCTTTCATTTCTGCATCGGATCCACCATGTTCATCAATGATGCTACCCAAATATGTAGAGGTTTTTACATCTCCCAAATTTTCCCGTCAAGTGTGATTCGATTGTTGCATCCTGAGTTGTATCGGAGATCCTTGCTTTTCCCTTTGTGTATGTCGAAACATATTGCTGCTATATTGGTCGTCTCCTGTATTTGCTGTTGCGTGTGCGATAGAAGAGCCAGATCATCTGAGAAGTCTATATCGTCCAGTTGCATTCTAGCTGTCCACTGTATCCCATGCTTCCACTCAGACGTTGACGTCTTCATGATCCAGTCGATCACCAGGAGAAAGAGAAAGGGTGAGAGTAAGCAACCTTGCCTGACACCGGTCTTTAGCTCGAACGAGTCTGTCAATTGTCCTCCATGTAAGATTTCGTAGTTTAATCCATCATAGGAATTCCGTAAGATAGTGACTATCTTCTCAGGCACACCGTAGTGTCGAAGAAGCTTCTATAGTGTGTTCTGCCCACTCTATCAAACGCTTTCTCGTAGTCAGTGAAGTTGTAGAGTGATGAATTCCATTCAATTAGTTGTTCCTCAATGATTCATGGTGTTGTGATTTGGTCTGTACACGATCTATCCTTACGGAATCCAGCCTGTTGATCTCGAAGTTGGGCGTCTACGGAGTCCTTCATTCTGTTTAACAACACCCTGTTGAAGACTTTTCCTGGTGTTGAGAGGAAAGTGATGCCTCTGTAGTTATCACACGTGCTGAGATCACCTTCCTTCTGTATATTGATAAGGTGTCGTTCTTTCCAGTCTGTCGGTACTTACCCTTCATCCCAAATCTTGCTGAAGAGAATGTGGAGTATCATTGCAGTTAACGCCACGTCTGCTTTCAGTGCCTCTGCTGGAATCTTGTCTGGTCCTGCTGCTTTGCCACTCTTGATTTGTCTGATGGCCATGCTGATTACTTCAATTGTTGGTGGGCCAACATTGAATGTGAGGTCCGTGGGTGCTATTTCGATGTTGGGTGGGTTCAGTGGAGCTGGTCGATTCAAGAGTTCTTTGAAGTGTTCCACTCATCTGTCTCGCTGTTCTTCAGTGTTGATAATCACATTGCCTTCCTTGCTTTTCACTGGTCGTTCTGGTTTACGATAATTTCCAAGGAGTTTCTTTGTTGTGTCATACAGTTGTCTCATATTTCCTTCACTTGCAGCCTTTTCCACCATCACTGCTAGATCTCCCACATATTTACGTTTGTCATCTTTGATTCTCCTCTTCACCTGCAAGTTCACTTCTGTGTATTCAGCGTGTGTCTTGACTTTCTCTGCTCTTGTTTGGCTGATATTGATTGCTGCCTTCTTGTTCCTTCTTTCTCAAATCTTATCCAGTGTATCGACGGTGATCCATTCCTTGTGACGGTGCTTCTTGTGACCCAGGACCTCATGACACGTTGAAGTGGTTTCCTCTTCGATCTCTTTCCAGTTGCTCTCCATAGTAGTCTCCTCTTCATTGAGTAGATCATGAAATGCCTGGAACCTATTGCTGTGGACTATCTTGGATTTGTTGAGTTTGTCAATATCCTGAACAAAGGCCTTATTTAAATTTGTGATATTGTCCGCCCCGTTTTCCAGTGCTTCTTGAGTTTCAATTTCATCTTGGCGACCAGCAAGTGATGATCCGATGCTATATCAGCTCCTCTCTTGGTTCTCACGTCTTCCATCGTCCTCCTGGACTTTTTGTTGATGTAGATATGGTCGACTTGGTTTTGCGTGGTGTGATCCGGTGATGTCCATGTGGTTTTGTGAATGCGTTTATGTGGGAATATGGTGCCGCCTATGATCAGTTTATTGAAGGCACATAGGTTTGCAAAGTAACAGGTGGATATGTGGACATAAACACATACGAAGATTATGGTGGGGTTCGTGGGGAATTCCAGAGGTCTTTTTGACATTTTGTAAACCCGTATTGCGTGTAAATAAACGGAAAACGGATTTAAAATGACTTTCGTGCAATAAGGAAGTCGAGCTATGGTTGACCGTGTGAGATAACAGCAAATACAAAGCGCATAGTAAACGTAAGTAAAAATGGTAACCGCCAATGTAATTAAAGTTTACAAGGTGTAGATAACGTGACCATTTCGTAAAAGACTAATGCGAAGAGCTTATTACCTGACGTTAAGTGACATGTTACGTACGACAAAGCGTCTAGTTAGAGCATGGACTAAGATTGCTCGTGTACGTGCAACACGTTTTTCCACAGTATGATGACTTACGAGTCATAAATATACATGATTTGGACTAAAACGTGACAGAAGCGTCAGAATATATGGCTAATCTGTGTGGAAGCAACTATGAAATGTTATTAGGCATCATAAACATAGTACGAAATTATCTGATGCAATTATGAAACTTGCCTGGGTTACTCTCATTTCCAATTAATGAGAACGTGAAGTAGATAGTAGTTCGGATTTGGATTATATACGAGGTAAATGCTCGAATTAACACAGCCTTGTAGACTGAATTTGTATGGGTCCAAAACTAATTTAAACCAAATACGTAGCACTGCCTGACGGACAATCTAAACGAGATCTAATATTATAGGAAATTTATAGCTCAAGCCCACAGTAAATTTCTAATTTTCGTATCCTCTGTTTGACCACGGGACTCAAGAATTGGAAATTAGGCGGGCAGTGGTCAGATAAGTAAAGCATCGTAGTAGATAGTTTCCGACGGAAGGTAGTTGATAGTGATTAAGTAGAGAGATGAATTTATAATCGCCAGTTAGTCTTGTCTCGTTTACACAAGTGGATAGGTTACAAACAAATGTGTCCGTGTTGCCATGTGGCTATACTTACGAGAGGTTGATATTTTAACAGACATGTTACACAGGAGCATTAACATGCTGCTAATGCTTGTTAAAGAGCCATGATAGCCGATTAT